CTCAGGATCCAACCCAGTGCCTCACACATTCTAGGTGAGCGCTCTACCACTGAGCCACAACCCCAGCCCATATTTTTGTTTTTTAAATCTTTACTTCTGTGTGTTAACAGGATGATAAAAACGTTTCCATCCCAGCATCTCAGGAGGCTGAGGCAGGAGGATCTCAAGTTCCAAGCCAGCCTCATCAAAAGTGAGGTGCTAAGCAACTCAGTGAGAACCCTGTCTCTAAGTAAAATATAAAATAGGGCTGCGGATGTAGCTCAGTGGTTGAATGCCACTGAGTTCAGTCCCCAGCAAACACTCCCCCCGCCAAAAAGTGTTTTCAGTTCCAAAGCTTCCATTTCTTGCCTATTTTTCTCTTCTCTTTTATTAGTTCATTGGATTTATCTGGGTGCTAAATTGATATGCACCCAAACTCATTGGTTCATTTATTATCTGTATCCTGCACTAACCTCTAGAAAATTTTTTACTGTTGTAGGGCAGAACTCAAGGAGGGAAAAAAAGATGGCATGTTTTTGTAGTTTTCTTGAAAAAAATAGCATTCATTTGTTTACATATTTTCTTTGATTGCTATATCACTACAGCGGCACTGTTGAGTAGTTGTGATAGACAGGATGTCTTATAAGCTTAGGAGGTGGAATGTCAAAGAAGGGTTTTCTGTTCTGCATTGTTTGCCTGTGTCTAACTGGTTTACTTTCTGATTAGGTATGGGGCAGCAATATTTTGTCTATTTGGTTCATATTGTACACTGGAAGAGAATAATGCTTAAATCCAGCTAATAAGATTTCAAGTTTGTTATATTTTTAAGTTCATGAATGCATTTTAAAAGTGTTTGTTAGCTAGTAAAAGTACTAATTAAGTGACCAAGTTCTCATTTGTTTTCGTTTAGTATTTTACATTTGGAGTTCCTTTTAAGCTTAAAAGTAAACTTTCTCATGACACATTTTCCAGCACCTATATTTAGAATAGATGCAGAGTACTATTGTAAAATATTAGCTTTTAGACTTTGTGCCTGTTTCTCTACAGGGGATATGAAAGGTGAGGTGTATCCATTTGGCATAGTCGGAATGGCCAATAAAGGGGATTGCCTGCAGAAAGGGGAGAGTGTCAAGTTCCAATTGTGTGTCCTGGGCCAAAATGCACAGACTATGGCCTATAACATCACGCCCCTGCGCAGGGCCACAGTAGAGTGTGTGAAAGATCAGGTAAGTACAGCATCTCTGGATATGAATTTGAACCTCTGAACTAAAACCTTGACATTTATTTGATTTGATTTTTATTTTATTTTTACTAATTTGGGGTAGCTTATAAAAATAGGAAGGAAAATCAAAAGAAAGTGACTGTATTAGTAAAGAGAAAATTAGAGTGATTATTCATAACTAATACTGTATATTGCAGAAAGTAAACTTGAAGAGTTCCAGAGTAAAGGAGCTATAAGAGTTTTTGAAATTTATTTCTTCTTAGTATTTTATATATAATAATAGGGTTCAATATCTATATTCATACATGCACATAAAGTTAATCAAGTTCATCCCCCAGAATTATGAGATTTTTGTACACTTAATGCTCTGAGCTTCTTTTGCAGACCACCCAAAGAAATTGTGTTTAGAGTATTTATGAAATAAGCTTAGGGGAGTTGGGTGTGGTGATACACACCTATAATCCTGGCACCTTGTGAAGATGAGGCAGGAGGATCACAAGTTTGAGGCCAGCCTCAATAATTTAGGGCCTTACTAGGCCCTAAGCAACTTAAACCTATCTCAAAAAATTAAAAGGGCTCTGAATGTGGCTCAGCAGTTAAGCACCTGTGGATTCAATCCCCAGTACCAAAAAATAAATAAGCTTAGGAGAAACAAAACTAGTCCTATTACTGATACCTTTGGTTCATCCCTTAGAATTCTTAGAGGAAACATTTTTCAACATCAGTACAGTGAATATAACAGTTTTCATGGCTAATATCCATAAACCTAACTGATTAAATCTAGAAGGGATCAAAATGAGTTATAGGTTTAAGTAAGGGGCTCCCTAGTGATTACTAATTCAGAAAATTAGTTGATAATAATATATGAAGAAACAAGGCGATCTTTGTTTCAGACAAAGATTTATTTCAGAATGGCAGTGATTGTTTTTTTTCCCTTCCCATCCCCCTCCCCCACCCCTCCTCCCCAGTTTGGCTTCATTAACTACGAAGTAGGAGATAGCAAGAAGCTCTTTTTCCATGTGAAAGAAGTTCAAGATGGCATTGAGCTACAGGCAGGAGATGAAGTGGAGTTCTCAGTGATTCTTAATCAGCGTACTGGCAAGTGCAGTGCCTGTAATGTTTGGCGAGTCTGGTGAGTTTTTTTGATTGTAGTTGGATTAGTAATCACCTAGGGTTCTCATAATTTCTGTTGTCTATCCTTTTATCACTTTTTTTTTTTTTAACTTTGCCATTCTGGTTTTATTCCCTGCCCTTTTGCCATTTTTGGTTATGTATTGATGCTTTTTACCTGTAGTATTATCTTCTTTTCCTCTAGTTTTTATTGCCTGGACTTAACATTCATAAACCTGGGCCAGTTGAAACACTTATATATGCTATGCTAGCATTATATATGGTAGATGTTAAATATAAAAAGTTTATGTAGTCCTTGTTCTTAAAGAATTCTGCTTATTTGCTTATTTCTTCCATCAGGACATTTCCAGGATATATGGTGCTTGAAATTCTAATTTTCAAATCTTTCTCATCCTGATTCTCTTTTTTTTTTTCTTTTCTTTTAAATCTCAATGTTTTCACCATTGTAGGAACTGGGATTCTCTAAAACTCTTTGTTCATATCTCACTTTTCTAAGGTTTTCTACATCAACTAGTTTGTTTTATGCATCTATGGAACTAACAAGTGTAGGATTGACCGTCACTGAAATGATTCTTCCAGATCATACATAGTTGGAACTACTTGAATGGGGGGGGGGGGTGCACACACACAAACTGGTCTGTCTTGTATTGCCAGCATTCTAGATGAGGCAACAGTCCCCATTAAATGTGAGTCATTTAAGCAATTAAGTAGGAAACACACTCCTCTCCAAATACTTTCTTCCTACCAAGTGTTGATTGTTCTCACCTTACAGTGAGGGCCCCAAGGCCGTTGCAGCTCCTCGACCTGATCGGTTGGTCAATCGCTTGAAGAACATCACCCTGGATGATGCTAGTGCTCCTCGCCTAATGGTTCTTCGTCAGCCAAGGGGACCAGATAACTCAATGGTATGGTTCCACAAAAGGGAGGACAACTGACAGACCAACATACTATTTGAAGTCTTATTTCAACATAGATTAGAGAACTTAATGAAGCAAGAAGCTTCAGTATTGCTTATAACTAGTTTGGATTCTCTACATGTTGGTTTAGCCCCTAATCAAGAAGCACAGTTCTTGCTTTTCTTAATACTTTCTACATAGCTTGGATAATGGTCAAGAGCACTTAAAAATGGATTTTCCTCCTCTAATAAAGAATTGGTAATGGTTAAAGTGATTAAAAATAATACTTAAGTAGCGCGAGTTGTGAATGTACTTATTTTGGTGCACCAAAGTTATTAATGGCAATTTTTATTTTTTCACAGGGATTTGGTGCAGAAAGAAAGATTCGTCAAGCTGGTGTCATTGACTAACCACATCCATAAAGCACATCATTAACCCACTATGATCAAGTTGGGGGGATTCTGGTGAAGGGTTCTGAATATCTCCCTCTTCATCCCTCCCAAAATCTGGAATACTTATTCTATTGAGCTATTACACCAGTTTTAACACCTTCCTCGTGTTATGTTTAAAAAAATAAATAAATTTAAGAAACCATTTTAAAATTATGCACAGTTGCAGCCTGGAAAACTTAAGGTGGCGCCTTATAGTATCAATTTTAGGAGCTTTATTTGGTGCATTTAACGCAACTGGTAATTGCAAAATCCACTTCGCCTGTGTAAGTGAAAAATACAGACTGTTATCTTGTTGGCCCTATGAAATTCTGCACTTGATATTTAGTATATACTCTACCTTCATTACTTCTGGCAAGATGTTCTGCCTTAGCACTCAGTTGCATTCTTTTCCTTTTCTTTCCTGTTCATTATGCTTTAATTCTGAGGACCATATGAGGGTAGGATATATTACCTTTTAAAAATTACAAAAATTTGTATAGGCAAGCCATTTTCTTAAGTTGATGGCCAAATGTTAAAATGTTATTTTTCATATCATTTATAATCTTGTCACAATCCACTTAACAAAATTTGGTTAGATTTCAGTGAAAATTATCTTCCAGAGTAGTTTTTTTTCCTGGGATGGGGTCAAATAACTTTACTACAATTAGTATATATGGTGCAGAATTTCGTGCAAATGAAGTGTGCCAGCAGTGTGATAATTTGAACATATTTAAACAAACAAAAAAGGACGAATGCACAAACTTGCTGCTGCTTAGATCACTGCAGCTTCTAGGACCCAGTTTCTTTTACTGATTTAAAAACAAAACGAGAAAAAAAAATAAAAAAGTTGTGCCTGAAATGAATCTTGTTTTTTTTATAAGTAGCCGCCTGGTTCCTGTGTCCTGTAGTATACAGGCACTTGACCCTTGGTGTAGCTTCTGTTTAACTTTATATCACGGGAATGGATTGGTCTGATTTCTTGGCCCTCATCTTAAATTGGCCATATTCAGGGTCCCTGGCCAGTGGACTGAAGGCTTTGTCTAAGATGACAAGGGTCAGCTCAGGGGATGTGGGGGAGGGCGCTTTTATCTTCCCCGTTGTCGTTTGAGGTTTTGATCTCTGGGTAAAGAGGCCATTTATCTTTGTAAACACGAAACATTTTGCTTTCTCCAGTTTTCTGTTAATGGCGAAAGAATGGAAGCGAATAAAGTTTTACTGATTTTTGAGACACTAGCACCTAGCGCTTTCATTATTGAAACGTCCTGCGTGGGAGGGGCGGGTCTGGGTGCGGCCTGCCGCGTGACTCCTGGGTCGCATGCCCACGTGGCTGGGGCGGGGCTTGGGCGCCCGAGGCGCAAACTGATTGCGTAGCGGGCGGGGCCGGAAGTGCCGCTCCCTGGTGGGGGCTGTTCATGGCGGTTCCGGGGTCTCTAGCATTTTTCCCGGTGGACGTCCTAAATCCGTCTGAAGCGGGGGCAGCGGAGCTTGAGGTAGGCCTCTGACGTTCAGGGCGTTGGGCTTTGGAGCATACAGGCTTCCCGTTCATGCCCGGTATGGAGCGGAATCAAGGAACCGGAGACAAAGGCCTTGGGCGGGGGTTCCTCCTTTGGGGCCTTACGTGGGGCGTTCTGTGGAAACGATGGGAAGGGGTCGCGGCCGGTGACCGCCCCAGGGCTGAGAAGAAGTACACAAGCAGTAGAAAGGGGGGGGGGGGTTTCCTTTACCTTAAGCTAAGGGCGGAACCCAAGCACAGTGGAAAACTAGACTCGGGTGGGAGTAGCAAGAAGCCAGAAATCCGAAGCCCGCACTAATCTGCCAGTATTTTTGTGTCCCTGAATCACTTTGTGAAGTTAAGTGGAAGGGAACATGTATGGAACTAATACACTTCAAACTCTTGTTTTAGTTACTGTTGATTTTGGAATCTTTGAAGTACTGTAGATTTGGCTTGCCACTTAATCTCAGTTGCCGGTTTTCCCACAGGTTCTTGCTGGTGTGAAATGACCGAGTACAAACTGGTGGTGGTTGGAGCAGGTGGTGTTGGGAAAAGCGCACTGACAATTCAGCTAATCCAGAACCATTTTGTGGATGAATATGATCCCACCATAGAGGTGAGGCCCAGTGGTAGTCTACCAAGTGACCCTAGCTCTCATAATCAGTTTTCCCCTTACCCATTTCCTTTATCCTTTGTAAGTAAATCAGAACAAAAAGTAATTTTAGATACTGCATTCAGTGATGCAATAAAGTAAAACTTTGTTGAGTTTATTAGCTGCTGAAGGTTTTCTTTAAAAATTTAGTTTACATCAGTTCTCAGTGTTGAATTTATTCAGTTTCTTTGTATATGGAAGCTCTGTTAAATAGAAACGCATGGAGCCAGGCATGATAGCCCGCCCCAGCCACTTGGGAGGCTGAGACAGGAGTATCACAGGCTCTCAGCCAGTGCGGGCTACATAGCAAGACCTTGTCTCACAGTGTGTGTGATAGGGGTGAGGGGTCCCGGGGATTAAATAGAAATGCTTACCACAGGTAAATAGATTGATTTAGTAGAAGAAAGAGGATGGAGATAAAGAATTCACAGATCTGGATATTTTTCAATTCTCATTTCTTTGCTAGGAGAGGCTCCTGAAAGTCAGATTTGAATTGGAGTAGAAACAACTTGAGATTTTGAGTCACTGTGCCTAGGATTGCAGTCCCCGTTTAAAGGTTATTTAGTTTTGTGATATTGAGGAAATCTCTTAACCTAATTTTCTGCATGTATTAAAGTGCCATGAACTTTGTCCTGCCTACCACACAGGAATATTGTGAAAAATCAAATAAATGTTTAAATTATTTGTGAATGGTAAAGCATCGCTTATTAGTATGTACTTCAGGATTCTTTTGTTATCTTGGGAGTTCATGTTACAGATTGGCTTCAATAAGTGACATTTAAGACTCTTTAAATGAAAGATTTTGTAGTTGTGCAACTTAGAAATGTCTAAATGATCCTGCCGTGGCCCCACCTGCCAGCTGGCTACTGAATGTTTAATGCAAACTAATTCTGATATATTCACTATTAAAAATTGGTTGAAATGTTTTCCAGAGTTTTATTTATTGAGGGGTAATTTACTTAAATAAAATACATAAATCTCATGTGTGTGCAGCTCAGGTTATATTTGTATACACCCATGTAACCTCCACTCAAATAACAATATAGAATGTTCCCAGTACCATAGAATAGTTCTTCCAAGTGTGACTATTGAAGCACAAAATATTGCCATAAAGCCAAATTGGAAGTTTTTCACATTTTGCTTTTTCAGTAATGGGGACTGAACCCAGAGCCTGGTGCATGCTAGGCAAGTGCTCTACCACGGAGCTATACTCCAGCCCTTCATTTTGAGACAGGCTCTCACTAAGTTGCTGAGGCTGACCTTAAATTTGCAGTCCTCCTGTCTCAACCTCCCTAGTAGCTGGGATCACAGGTGTGCACTACCACACCCCACTAGAAGTATTTTTTTATATATTTTTTTATCATTTGTTATGATGAGAAAAACATTTGTGGTATTGTAATCTCCCTGCAACAAAAGGTATTTGTATATTTAGTCATAACACAAATGATTCATTATCCAGGGCTAGGTTAGTTATGTTTAGAATCTTAAAAGCAAAATAAACAGCTCAAGTAAAACCATCTAGTTCATAGTTTAGTAAAATACAGTATGAATGAACTTAATCTCTGTAGTTTTCCTAATTGCAATAGAGCTGTCATTTGAACTTATTTATATATTGTATCTATGTACATATACTTATATATTACATCTGTGTACATATATAGATGTATTATATATTTCATCATATATATAGATGTAATATAAGTAAATATATGTAATAAATTATAAACTATATATGTACATATATACATACACACAGATTTTATATATATATACATATATATATATACACACACACACACACTTTCTTCTCTATCTTTTCTAGAAATAGACTGGCCTCGTTTTCTGTTTAAGATTTGGAGCTTTTTCCTAAGGTGACATTAATACATTTGTGATTATATATTAACAGTTTGAGGGACAATTCAGATAAACAGAAATGGTTTTGAATAGTTGGCTTATTTATCCTTGACAGTAACATTGCATGCCCTGTGGTTTTTAATAAAAATTGAATTTCCCTCTCTCCCTGCCCCCCAACCCTCCATACTCCCAGGATTCTTACCGAAAACAGGTGGTAATAGATGGTGAAACCTGTCTATTGGACATACTGGATACAGCTGGACAAGAGGAGTACAGTGCCATGAGAGACCAATACATGAGGACAGGCGAAGGCTTCCTCTGTGTATTTGCCATCAATAATAGCAAATCATTTGCAGATATTAACCTCTACAGGTACTAGGAACATTATTTTTTCTGAAAGGATGATCTTAAGTGTGTTCTTCTGAAGTTTTGTGGGAGAATGAGGATACCTTACTTAGGGAAGATACAGCTTTTTAATTATGGGAAGAGTTGGTTTTAGGTCGTTTGACATTAAGATTCTGGGGTTTTTACTGAAATACTGGAATTCTGTATAGTATACTGTTACTGTAGTGTTTGGTAATACATAAATGAGACTTGCTACTGTTTGACAATACATAAATGAGACAGTTCAACCAGAGATCATAAAGGAATTTCAGAGAAGTGTCTTTTTGGAAGAAATAGACAAAATGATAGGAAGAAACAAATAGGGTATAGATCAAAAATGGAAGAAAGGCAAAGGAGCATAAAGATGGACTTTCTCCTAGAACCATAAAATTTCAAAGCTAAATTGGATTATAAAAATTTCTAGTGCAACATTCTTATTTTATAAAATTAAAGAATTCAGAAAGTGGTTTATTGGGTTTTTGGAGTTGCACTGTTAGTAGACCCAGGCCCAAAAATCCAGGGCTCCTTTTTGTTAGCTCAGTATTTAGGCAGAAAATATAGTGGTTAAGAATATGGACTCCGAATAGGTTGAAATCGAGCTTCATCATTTATTAAGTATGTGACTTTGGGGCATACTACTGAATCTGTGTGTCCTGTTTTCTTAACTATAATGAGATAATGGTATCTACCTGTTAAAGTTGTGAAGATTAAACAAATTAAAAAGTATGTAAATCACTGGGCACCGTGGTGTATGCCTGTAATCCAAGCGGCTTGGGAGGCTGAGGTAGGGGATTGCAAGTTCAAAGCCAGTCTCAGCAAAAGCAAGGTGCTAAGTGACTCAGTGAGACCCTGTCTCTAAATAAAATACAAAATAGGGCTGGGGATGTGGCTCAGTGGTAAAGTGCCCCTGAGTTCAATCCCCAGTACCCACCACCCCCCACAAAAAAAGTATGTAAATCACTCAGAAGAGTACTTGGCCCATAGTAAATACTTTGTAAGTGGTCTGCCTTGAGTCCTGGCTTTTTTCCCCCAATTTGTGAAGATATTTGCTCTCAGAAGGAAACTGATCCACAACTGAATTCAATGTTTTGTTTTGTTGTTTCCTAGACCTTCTTTACTTCCCGATTTCCTTTTCTCTGGAAGTACTCTTAGTATCCTCAGCTCTCTGTATCTGAATGTTCCACATCCTCAGATTCAACCAACCTTGAAAAAAATAGCTTCTGTACAGAACATCTATAGACTTGTTTTCATATTATCATTCCTAAACAATATAAACAAATATTTTAAATAGCATTTATATTGTATTTTTATCAGTAGTTTAGAGATGACTTAAGTATAGATGAAAGATGTACATAGATTGTATGCAAATACTATACCATTTTATATAAGAGATGAGCATCATGAGATTTTGGTATAAATTGTGGGTGTATCCTGGAACTAGTTTCCCATGAATATCAAGGGATGACTGCACTTAAAAAGTGCCCAACTTTTGGCAAGCATCTAATAAATATTCATTGAATTTCTAGAAGTCATTTTCTTTTTCCTTAGAATTTTCTTCTACCTTACATTTTTCTATCTGTGCCCTGCCCTAGACAAAAGAGTATTTAAAGCATCTTGTAAAAATGCCTGTATAGCAAGATAAACTAATGAAACGGGCTTAAGTGAGGCAAAGAGAAAATAAAGAGGAGTTAGGGATGAGCTTATTTTGGAACTGTATTTGAAGTGACCTTGAAGAGTTAGACTACAAATTTGACAGCTGTTGTGAAAAGAGAAGCTAAAAGATGCAGGATCTGCTGAAAACAAATCAGTTGCTCAGAAGAAGCAAAATTATACTGACACCAGAAAAAGAAATTGCTCTGATCTTCAAAGAGTGTGGTTTAATGTAAAGAAAGAGTAGTAACCTGACACAGTGACATGTTCCAGGTACTTTAGGTTGTCCTGTGATATCTCTTAACATAAGCTACTACCATCACACCTATAAATAGTTCTCCAGACAGCCAGGGGAATGCAGTTTAGGTACAAAATTTTGTAATCCAAGCTAGAGTTTAGAGCAGTGGTGCAGTATGGTAGCCACAGCAAAATGTGGCAGTTTATATTCAAATTAAAATGAAGTAAAATTTGAAAATTAGCTGCTTGGTTGCATTAGAAAATGAAATAAAGTGCTCAATAGCTACATATGACTGGTGACTACCATGTTTAACAGTATAAATAGACCATTTCCAACAGCGCAAAAAAGTTTTATTAGGCAGTGTTGGTGGAGAGAATCTGGAGCAACAACTTCCAAACTGCTGTGGTAGGTCTTAGCATTGTCATTGAAGAGAGTGCTTGCTATCTTTGGGAGTTCCAGATTTCTTCAGTCCCCCAATCCCTTTATTAGGATCAGTCTGGTGTTTTCTCTTTCATATCTTAGATTTGAAACTACAAATTTGTTTGAGAAAATGATTTGGTTGCCTCCTGTCTTGAAAGTGGATTATCTATTCGTTAAATCTTGTTATTCCCCAGGGAATGTCAAAAAATTTAGTGGCTTTATTTTTTTATACTTCAAACCTTAATCTAGAGTATGATTTCTAGTGACAATTAATCCAGTCAGTGTCTTTGGAGAATCCATGAGCCGAACTAGATGTACATCAGGATACACATAGAATAGCCATCCATTTCTATTAGAATATGAACTAGATTTACAACTTCCCTATGGCTACCGCACCAAGTCTAAACCAATCTCCTTGATATACAAGGTCTTGTATAAGTGGTCAAAAAAATGTGAAATTCAATACTAGAAGCTAATAGGGCCATATAGAACTTGCCAATTTCTCTTTTGCCTTACCATTCTATTCCTTCTTGAAAGTTTGTTTTTCTTACGTTGTTATGACATATTCCCTGTTTTAGGGAGCAGATTAAGCGCGTAAAAGACTCAGACGATGTACCTATGGTGCTGGTAGGAAACAAGTGTGATTTGCCAACAAGAACAGTTGACACAAAACAAGCCCATGAATTGGCCAAGAGTTATGGAATTCCGTTCATTGAAACCTCAGCCAAGACCAGACAGGTATGGTAGGGCTTTGAACATCTTTGCAAGAATTTGTTAAGATGAGATTCACATTCCTTGTTTTAAGTTCTAATTATATCCTTTTGTTGTTGTTAATTTTCAGTTTAAACCCAAAATGAATTTACCTAATGTTCTAGTATGGCATTTTTATTCCTGCATTAACAAGCACACATATTTCTAGTGAAGACCCTTGATTTAAAATATTTATGAACATTAGCCCTTTTCCCATCAGCTCCAATCACTGTTAGGGCTTAAGCCCTCCTGAATGGAATCATTAGATCTGGTAGTTTTTTGTGTGTCTCAATGTTATCCTTTTTCCTTTGCTGGAATCTGTTTTTACAAAATATGCTATTTGTATATCAGCCTGTGAATGTACTAAACTTGGTGTCCTCTAAATCACCCTATTTTATCACCTGTGAATTGGTAATTGGAATTTGTTAAAATGTTTTTTAGTTGTAGTTGGACACAATATATTTTATTTATCTATTTTTATGTGGTGCTGAGGATCGAACCCAGCATCTCGCATGTGCTAGGCGAGTGCTATACTGCTGAGTCACAACCTCAGCCCAGTAATTGGAATTTACATCCCTCTTAAAGAAGTATAAATGAGAAAACTTATAACTTGCATTGTGTTAGTTGAGCTGTCCTTAGATTTTCTTTCTTCTTTCTTTCCATAGGGTGTTGAAGATGCTTTTTACACACTGGTAAGAGAAATACGCCAGTACCGAATGAAAAAACTCAACAGCAGTGATGATGGAACTCAAGGTTGTATGGGGTTGCCATGTGTGGTGATGTAACAAGGTGAGTGTGTGATCTGATTTGACATATAACTTTGACATAATTGTAAATGTTATTTTTTAGCATTAGGCAGTTTGGAGGAGTGTTAGTGTTACTGATTCTATTATTTGGTATTCTTTTGTTTTTGTTACTAAGAATTTAACCCAGTGGTGCTTTTACCATGAGCTACATCCCCAGCCCTTTATTTTATTTTATTTTTTTATCTTGTGACAGCATCTCGCTAAGTTGTTTAGGGCCTCACTCACTAAGTTGCTGAGGCTGGCTTTGAACTTACAGTCCTCCTGCCTCAGCGTCCCAAGTCACTGGATTTACAGGCATGCACCACAGTGCCTGGCTGACTCTGTTGTTATTTAACTGAGAATTTCTGTGTAATTATAACTATCAAATATTTTCCTGATGGTACCCCTTCTGAGAGGACTGAAGTTTAACCTGCTTTTAAAACATGTAATTATCATACAGATAGCTTTCTATTTTTGATAATATTAGAAATTAGAAGAAACATATACCATGTTCTTAAGCCAGGAGTTTGAAGAATCACTGTATAGAAACTCAGTGATAATGACATGGTGTGTGTTCTTTTTTTTAATAGTTATTTACAAAGTTCTGTCATCAAAAAAAGAGCCACTTTCAAGGTAGGACAAGTTTGGAAATGTATTTTCATTCATATTGAGTTCCTAAACTTGTTTTTCTCGTACTGTGTGTGCCACTTACCCCCATTCCATTTTTATTTCAGCTGCACTGATACCCTGGTCCTGACTTCCCTGGAGGAGAAGTATCCCTGTTGCTCTCTTCATCTCAGAGAAGCTCCTGCTACTTCCCCAACTCTCAGTAGATGAACACAACAGTCTCTGCTTGAGAATTTCTCAGAATAACTACCTCCTCACTTGGTTGTCTGACCAGAGAAATGCATCTCTCTTTATTCCCTAATAGTTTTCCACCCTGGGTTCTCCCCTATAGAAACAAACACACCTCCACCACCCATGTTTTTCATCGAAAGCCAATTCATGCTCTGAAACAGAGAACCAAACTAGACATGAAATTCTGTTGAAAACAGTTCCTTGAGCGCTAAAGTAGCAACTGCTGGTGATTTTTTTTTTTTTTTCTTATTTCTTTTTACTGTTGAACTTGGACGTATTTTAGCTTTTGGAGAAATGTCATGAATTAATGTTTTACCAAGAATATAATTAATGTTGCAGATTGGTTTATTTGTAACGTTATCAACTGTAGTCTATAAACTGGCATCTGCACTGTATTCATAAATACAAAAGTGAATGCTAACTTTTGAGTCGATCCTAGTCTTCTCAACTTTCATGAAATTAAATCCACTTTTCACAACAAAGTGCCTTTTTCCTAGAAGTGATTTGTAGACTTTCTTTATAATACTTCACTGGAATAGATGTGTCAAAAACCATTATACCTGAAAATGAATATCTATGACCCATCTACCTTTAAGGAAAAGATATACAATAGCAGATGCCATTGTTTATGTATGTGAAGATGGTTTTCCAGAAGCCTATTTTGGAGCTTTCCCTGGGGAAAAATGAAACTGGAAGCAATTATGGATAATTTCACTTAATTTTTATCTTGTCTCCACTTTTTTGGTAGGTTACTACCTATAAATGTATGTAATTTGTTTCTTTTAGCTTAGTGATAATATCATGTTCAATGAACTTCCATTTATATTCATATTTGGGTCATACCAGAAAGTTCTACATTTGCAGTTTTTCAAATATTATAACAATTTGGTGTGATGTTTTTTTATAGCTGTAATCAGTGATTTTCAAACCTCAAATATAGTATGTTAACAGATTACATTTTCACTGCATATCATAGTCTCTTAGTGATGTATGTAACTGCCCTCAATCCCCTTCTCACTCTACTCTCTGCCCCTCACCCCACAGCAATAGGGGCTTGATTAATTATTTCAGTTGAGTAAAGCATGGTGCTAATGGACCGGGGTCACAGTTTCAAAACTTGAACAAGCCAGGTAGCATCACGCAGAGAAAAATTCCACATTTGCTCCCTGCACCAGTAACTCCAGCCAGTAGTTCTGTTGGATGCCTGCTGTTAACCCTGTAAGGAAAGAAGAGGTTAATAAGCATGAATCCTCTACCATGACTAGAAAAGTTTGGTATTCTAAGGAGAATTCAGCTTAGAAGTTTTTATATTTCAACCTCCCCCTCTTTCTTTAACAACTTGGAAACTAAGCCAATATTTTTTTCTCATTTTTTGAAAATGAGGGTGCCTCAAAAAATTGTTTTTAATTTATAATATTCTCTGAGGGGTTTTAAATAGATGATGATATATTAGTCTGCATAGTAGACAAAAAAAAAAAAGCTGATGAATTTGTTCAAAACATAAAATAGCCTTTGGGTTGAGATTGCTGAGGAAAGAACAGAAATGTAATTAATTATTAGGAGTATGCAGAGGAATGATATTTCCATTTATAGGTAATGCCTTGGGTAATTTTCCTTTCTTTTTTGGTGACATGGGGATCAAACCCAGGGCCTTACATGTGCTAACCATGAGCTACATAGCCAGCCCCAGGAATTCTAATGAAAAGTAGATTTGGATAACTTTTGATAAAGGCCTAATTCCAGAATGAACACTTACTGTTCTAATGTCTGAACATTTACTGAGGTTTTTGTTTTCTAATATGAATTTTCATTTATTAAGCAAACTCCACATTATCCGGAAATGAGTTCAAGAACAGTAGAAGAAACATATACTATGCCCAGATTATAATAAATTCAAGAGTTGTGCTCCTTAGTGCTAATGCTGGGAGCATTCACAGCAGGGTTGTCACCTACAAATGAAACTGTGCTGCTTTGTGTCTGCCCCTTTTGCTCTGTCATTTTCCTGAGGCTAGATTGAGACTTACCACCTCACTTGAACTCTTATGTGTATGTGTATGTGATAGCAATGTGAATCTAAAGAGTTTTTTAAATTTAATGTCAAATTAGGGAGAAAAATAGTTACTCCTTTTGGGCTGTAGTGGCCTTAGCCCTTGTATGTATGTATCTATAGTTTTCTTAGATATGTTGTAAGCACAGAAGTACAGAAATGGGGCCAAAATTCAGACTTGAAAATGTTCTTTAATAGCTTCTTAAGAAGTTGCACTTCAGTGTGAATTTTGGCGCGACAGAATGACATGCTTAAGAGTTAAAAGCTGAAAAGTTCAGTTAGTGTAGTATAAAACAGTTTTTAGAATATGTAATTGTTGAAAATAATTGTTTTACCTCAAATTCTCAAGGTCACTTTCCCCAATTTAAGTGCCTGGCCAGCTGTCATAAATTACATATTCCATTATGGTTTTGTTTTGTTTTTAAAGATTGCACATTGGAGAGTGTGAAAATAAGATGTTCTGCCTAAAGCTACCATACCTAATCTGTAAATGAATCTGTTAAATGCTGTATCTGCTCCAGGAGCTTACTATAGAATGTTAACTTGGTAATACAGTACACTTAGTTATTCTTTAGGAATGTAATAGATAAAATTAATCTCTCTCTTTTTTTTTTTTTTTTTTTTTTTGGTGGGCCCCCTGTTTAGTCTTTCATCATCCTTTAAACTGCTGTGAATTTTTTCATGACTTGAAAGCAAGGATAAAGGAAAACTTTAAGAGATTTTGAGTTTTTCCCAATCTAGAATTCGTGATCATAATCATATTTTGCTTTATATTCACAGTCATGCACTCTTAAGCTGGCAGCTACAACCAAGAACCCCAAACTGGTGCATTCTACTTCTTATAATTCATCTCTGCTAGTAAATTATAAGAAGCAAGGATAACTAATTAGGGAAAATATTTTTATTTGGATAGTTTCTGTAAAAAAGGGACTAAAATTTCTTGTATTTTTTTTTTCATCTTTGCTGTTTCTTTAAGCAGTCTAATGTGCCATGAAATTATTTTAAGGTTCTTTTTTCTATAAGAATTATTTTTAAAGTGTTCTCATCAGATTAGTTGTAGATATATGTCAAAATATTACTGATTTTTAAGTCTGAGTATTGACCTGACAAGCAAGTATTTGAACTCCACTCTGGAGTGTAGGGTGGGTACCAATGAAATTTGTGTGACTTTTTATTTCTGTGCCATCAAATATAGGTAACAATATCAGTTGTGCAATTCTGCTGTTTAAATGGGAACTATTGGCCTCTTTGGCCCTAAATAAAAGGGCTACTTTAAGTTGATTATTTTATTGTAAATTAATCCATCCTAATTTTTTTAAATTTGGTTGAATATTTTTCTTGTTAAATAATGTTTAAAAAATAAAAACTGGAAGTTCTTTGCTTTGTCATTATTTCTTTTTTCCTACTGAAGTGTCTTTATAGAAAGCTAATATTAATTTTAGACTTTTGGATGTGACATTTGGACAGTATTAGAAGAGTTGAATTCCTCATTTTATTTCACTTTCTGTGGTTTTAGTTACTCCAGAGTCCTAAAATATCAAATGGAAAATTCCAGAAACAATTCCTAAGTTTTAAATGACACCCTCTTCTGAGTACACAGTGAAATATCACACTACCCAATCCATCCCAACCAGGATGTGAATCATTCCTTTGTCCAGTGTTTCCACACTCTATATACTACCTGCTCTATAGTCAATTATTATCTGTCTCTGTTATCAGATCATCTATAAAGATATCACAGTAGTTAATTCAAGTAACCCTTTATCTGCTATTGGTCCCAAAGTACAAGAGTAGTGATGCTTATGTATTGTTAGTGATTATTCATTTAAATCTCTTACTGTGCCTAATTAATAAATTACCACAGATGTGTATGTATAGGAAAATATACATAAGGTAGAAATATAGTGCTTGTATAGTACTATCTGCAGTTTTTAGGCATCCACTGGGGACCTGAGAATGTATCCCACAAGGGGACTATATAAAATATGTCAAGGCTTGTTTTAAACTATTACCTTGGGGATGATTCATAGCTGTTTGTCAGATTCTCAGAGAAACATAAAGCACTTTAAAACTATCATTGAAATATTTAATGTATCTTTGCATTACTGCTTCATCTAGCAGTCTTGGCATAGTTGGAAAAGCTTTGGTCTAGGAACTACAGAACCTGGGTTCCAACTATAATTTTACTACTACAACTCATACTTTCTTCATTTACAAAGTTGGGAGGGGTCAGTTAGGATATCTCAGATTTTCCAGTCCTAAGAAGATATAAAAGAATGATTTCAAACCTAACCTTCCATTAGCATAAATTCTGGAATGTGGTGATTATGGAAATTTGGTTTCTTCTACCAAGGACATAATTCTCTTTCCTTAAAGTAGATATGGAGAGGGGTTATTAAATATTTGAATTCAGCTTGAGAAAAGTAAATTTAAGTGGCAAAATATTGTTTTCTAGATAGTAGAAAACACTGAAAAATACCTGAAGAAGCTTATTTGGACCCTGAGGGGACCTCCTATGCATCATTGCTATTTAGCTTTCATTTCTCCTAACAAGCAATATTCAAGGTCATTAAAAGGCCAACATAGTTGCATAAGTTATTTGATATCCATAAATACATGAAAAGGGGGCCAAGAGGCTTTGCTAGTGATCATTTTGCAAACTGAGAATATTTTGCAATGCTTTAAAATAACTGGGCGATGAAATGTGGTAGTTTGTTTTTTTGTTATTGTTTTGTTTTGGTTTTGGTGGTGAGGTTTTGTTTGTTAGTTTGTTTGTAGTACTATTGAACTTGCTCATTGCTAGGCGGGTGCTCCACCACTGAGCTACATCTCCAGCACTTTTTGAATTTTTTGTTTTGAGATAGGGTCTAAGTTGTCCAGGCTGGCCTTTAACTTGTCATCTTCCTGCCTCCACTTCACAAGTCACAGATTATAGTTATGCCTTACCATATCCCCCTGAATGTGAGTTTTTTTCCTTAATAAAATAAAACTGGAATTATAGGGACACACAAAATAGAAATAACAAATGCTCTTTCTAGTGCTGATAGGAGCTTAAAATGGTTCAGATTCAGAAACTAGTGAATTGATCATTCTTCTTTGGAGACTATATCCTACACATGATTTACTTCACATTTGCACCAAAATCATTTATTAACTACTGGTGTGTGGTGAGGGAGAAGGGGTTATTTTCCAGCCTAAGAGAATAAACTCAGTCTCTTAATTAGCATGAATTCTGATTGTCATCAATTTATAGGAATCATATAAAGTAAAAATGGGTAGCACCTGCAATGTTGGAAGTTAAAGTGCTATTAAATGTTTCTAAAGATAGAAGCTGCCACATGTCTGATGAGGAAGGACAAGGTTGGAAACTTGCAGTTGCCTACCAGAGCTTTTAAATGCAGGAGCCTGAAATATTATCCAGGTTAGGAAAAGCAATCTTCTAGAATGGCTGCTGTGGAAGTGATAAAATTGGTTCTATTGATATTGTAGGAGCTTGAGATGCATGAATTATGTATACTATTTAAGTCTGAAAGAAACCTTACACATAATTTTAAATATCTTTGTATAAATCAGTTCTCCATGTTTACATCTATGGCCAAACATGCCTGATACGAATGTTTCATTAAACCACTAGTATGTAGTTTAAGAAAGACATTTTGAAAATTAAATCAAGAGATCTTATACATTGATGCTTGTTTTGCCTGTAAAATTTGAAGTGTTTGACATTTAATATTAAAGCCCCAAATGCAATTCTAGCATGTTTGATATCCCCTGGTTGTAGCCACAAGCCCTATCAAAATGTTTTTGTTGCATTGTTTTTTTTTCTTTTTACTTATTTATTCTAATTTGTTATACATGACAGCAGAATGCATTTCAATTCATAGTACACATATAGAGCACAACATTTCATGTCTCTGGTTGCACACAAAGTAGAGCACACCATTCGTGTCTTCATACATGTACTTGGGGTAATGAAGTCCATCTCCTTCCATCATCTGTTCCCTCCCTCTCCTTTCCCCTATCTAAAGTTCCTCCATTCCTCCCATCCCCACCCCCCACCCCCCAGCAGCATATTATGAATCAGCATTCTTAAACCAGAGAACTCATTTAGCGTTTGGTTTTGGAGGACTGGCTAATTTCACTTAGCATTATATTCTCCAGCTCCATCCATTTACCTGCAAATGCCATGATTCATGATTTTTATTCTCTTTTAATGCTGAATAATATTGTTTATTATTAATTATTAATATTCCATTGTGTATAAATATCACATTTTCCTTGTCCGTTCATCTACTGAAGGGCATCTAGGTTGGTTCCACAGTTTAGCTATTGTGAATTGTACTGCTATAAACATTGATGTGGCTGGATCCCTGTATGTTCTGTTTTTAAGTCCTTTGGGGATAGACTGAGGAGTAGGATAGCTGAGGCAAATGGTGGTTCCATTCCAAGTTTTCCAAAGAATCTCCAGATTTCTTTCCATATTGGTTGCACCAATCTGCAGTCCCACCAGCAGTGTATGAGTGTATCTTTTTAATAGCTGCCATTCTGACTGGAGTGAGATGAAGTCTTAGAATAGTTTTGATTTGCATTTCTCTAATTGCAAGAGAAGTTGAACATTTTTTCATATATTTGATCGAATGTATATCTTCTGAGAAGAGTCTATTCAGCTTCTTAGACCATTTATTGATTGGGTTGTTTGTTTTTTGGTATTAAGTTTTTTAGTTCTTTATATATCCTAGAGTTTAGTGCTGTACCTGATGTGCATGTGATAAAAACTTGCTCCCATTCTGTAGGCTGTCTATTCACCTCACTGATTGTTTCTTTTGCTGAGAAGAAGCTTTTTAGTTTGAATCTATCCCATTATTGATTCTTGATTTTATTTCTTAAGCTATAGGAGTCTTATTAAGGAAGTCAGGGCCTAACCTGGCATGATCATTTTCTTTTCTTTTCCTTTTCCTTTCTTTCTTCCTCCCTTTATTTATTTATTTAGGTTCTGGGGATTGAACCAAGAGTTTTACTACTGAGCTACATTCCCACACAGCCCTTCTAATTTTTATTTTTTTAACTTTGAGACAGGGTCTCACTAAGTTGCTGAGGATAGTCCTGAATTTCTTTTTTCTTTTTCTTTTTTCTTTTTTTTTTTTTTTTTTGGTATTGGGGATTGAACTCTCAGGGGCACTCTACCACTGAGCCACATTCTCAGCCCTATTTTGTATTTTATTTAGAGACAGGGCCTCAATGAGTTGCTTAGAGCCTTGCTTTTGCTGAGGCTGGCTTTGAACTCACAATCCTCCTGCCTCAGTCTCCCAAACTGCTGGGATTACAGGTATGCATCTACCATGCCTGGCTGTACATTTTCTTTACAACTTTCATTTAGTAGGTTTTTATTGATCACCTATTATATGCCTGGGCCTATGCTGCTCTGGGTATATATTGGCTCCTTGTTAATACTTTACTGGGAATAAATCTCTAAAGCAAAATTTCTTGATTGCAAATTGGTTATTGTTTCAAAGGCAAAGGACACAAATTACCTAGCCACCATGCTTTGGATACTGCCCCCCCCCCCCCCGCAGCCCTCTCCTCCCTTCCCTGATTTTCCTGAGAACATTTAAGACTATTCAAGATGCACCAAATATTGACTTATAACTCATTACCACTTTTCAAATCCAGGCTCTATAGGAAGAGAGACTTCTGTTTATCTATGGCTTCAAAATCTCAAGTGCTCTTGCATCCTTCATCTCCTCTGATCATCCACAACCACGTAAAACAGGAATGATCTCCATTTTACTGATAAGGAATCCCGAAACCCTAAAAATGGATGTATTTTTTTCCTAAAAGTTAACCTAGGTATCTCTCCTCATTCTAGAATCTGCTTTATTTGTTTATTTATTTATTTACTAGTCGTTTTCAAACCATGCTGTTCAGCTGGGCACAGTGGCACATACCTGTAATGCCAGTGACTTAGGAGGCTGAGGCAGTAGGACCACAACTCAGAGGCCAGCCTCAGCGACTTAGCAAAACTCAGTTTCAAAGTAAAAAACGGGGACGGGGGTAAGGGGGAGACTGGGGACATGGCTTTGTGGTAAAGCATCCCAGAACCAAAAAACAAAAACAAAAACAAAACAGCACACCTGTAATCCCAGCAGCTCAGGAGGCTGAGGCTGGAGGATGGCGAGTTCAAAGCCAGCCTCAGCAACAGCGAGGTGCTGGGCAACTCAGTGAGACCCTGTTTATAAGTAAAATATTAAAAAGGGCTGGGGATGTTGCTCAGTGATCGAGTGCCCCTGAATTCAACCCCTGGTGCCCCCCCCCCCCCAAAAAAAATATGCTGCTCAAAGCTCTTGGACCATCATGAGGGAGACTTCAGAGAGACTGG